GCTTAGGGCTTAAATCTCTATTGTAGACTGGGACTTATGCGCATGCATTAAATTGCATCAAGCGGGGAGCACACACTTTTGCATAAGTGCACAAGCATGCATAACGAATTTGATTGGTCCATTTCCTTGTGCATTTGCTTATAGACCAATCAAATTTGTTATGCATATGCTTATGCACTTATGCAAAAGTGTGTGCACAGTATATGCCGTATATGGGCCATCGCACACAAAATTGCATAGTTGCATATGCATAGCACAAGAACGTCTGGACCAATGAGCGCGTTATGTAAATCAATATGGCGACTCAATGTTCGATGTTCATTGGTTCAAACGGTTTTCATGCTATGCACATGCAGCTATGCAATTTTGTGTGCGATGGCCCTATAAAGCGGGAAGCACACACTCTTGCATAAAGGCATAATGCAGAAGCATAAGAAAACGAACCAATCAGAATATTCAATTTTATTGTGGAGAGAGAAATGAAAGACTCTGATTGGTTCGTGTTCTTATGCTTCTGCATTATGCCTTTATGCAAGTGTGTGCTTCCCGCTTTAGGGCCATCGCACACAAAATTGCATAGTTGCATATGCATAGCACAAGACCATCTGGACCAATGAACATGTTATGTAAATCAATATGACTACGTTTCCACCGAGGGTCAGAGTCGGGCTAGAGTCGGGTCAGAATCGGGTTGGGGTGAGCGATTTTGCGGTGGAAACACCAAACCCCAACCCGATTCTGACCCGGTTTGGTGTTTCCACCGCAAAAACGCTCACCCCAACCCGATTCTGACCCGACTCTAGCCCGACTTTGACCCTCGGTGGAAAAGTAGTCATTGTAAACATTGGCCTTTAAGGCGGTGTCACATGGAGCGTGATTTGCATAAGCGTAACCTGCGTATCGCCAATCACAGAGTCGTTCTGACAGAACTGTTTAAATAATTCCATCGAAATGGTTCTGTGATTGGCCGTAACCGTTAGGTTATGTTGGAATCGATAAAAATTGTCCAATCGCCGTTAAAAGTGAAGAGATAGTTGACTGCAATTGGTTAATTTTTACCGATCCCGAGGTAAGGTTAACGGTTACGGCCTTGCATGAACCAGCCTTTACGCTCCATGTGACGCCACCCTCACAATCAGCTGTTGAATGTCGCACGTGTTTTCTTTTATTTTGCCGAGTCAGCAAATCGCTTATCGTCGGATCGAGCTGAATTGAATAATGAAAGAGCGTGATTTACGGCTCGTTGGCTGAGCATGGCCAAGAAAAACGGTCTCGCGTGAAAGAGATAGAGAGAAAGAAGTTGGTCTCGCGGGATTTTTTTTTTTTTGACAGAAGATCGCCTCGGTAAAACGCGAGACTCGTTACACTGCTACAGGAATCCTCGACGTGGGCGGAACGATGATGAAGGGTACAATGTACAGTGACAAAAGTGCTTGAACGCCTGCAATATCCGGAATTATTAATAGATGAAACACATATGTTAGAACAAAGACGGAAGCATTTCGTAAGTAGATAAAATTAGAAGACGATGTAATATTTATGGACAACTCCGAACGTGTCTATTGCAAACAAAATGTTTGACTGTAGATTTTTTAAATATTTACGCTTTCATACAGTCATTTCTCACTGAACCTTTGAATAGTAATTTTTCAAATCTGTGCTCTATTTTACTTAATTCTTCCTTAGTGTTTTGTATCGATAAAATTATACGTTTTCTTTTTGTTGTGCATCTTTTTGCTGATTGTGTAAATTATATGTAGTGTGCGCTTTGCATTCGTGTCTATAATGCGAGAGTATCATTTTTAATGTATGCACACAAAAATACATATGCAATAGCAGATATGTAATTACAGGTTGTCTTGTAGCTTTATCCTATTAATTTCCATAGTATGTAATTTACATAATTAGATAAGATTCATGCAGAAACAATGTCTGATAAGATCCAGTTCGTTTATATGTAAATTCTTCAACATAAAAATATGGTAAAAACTATCTGATTAAAAAAGGTATATAAATTGTATTGAATAAATGTACGAAATTAAGAATATTTTAAATATTTGTGTGATGTTTGAAATGTTGAAATAAAACACTATTGGACGCAGCTTATTATTTTAAAAACATTTAAATTGAACCCCAGAAATATGGTATGAAGAGTTTGATTTAAATAATATTTGAGAGATTTTTTAATAAAATTTATTAACTTAGTGAAATCTTTTAATTTTTAATGTTTACATTTATTTATAATTTAGGACATTTTGTAATTATTAGCATATATTCTATAGAATTATTTATATATTCTTTACATACATTATTTACATACAACTGCAATATTTATTTTGTGTTTTTTTCTCAAAGAGATATCTGTACTTTGAAAGCTTAAATCTGTCAGCAGCCGACAATTCGTTATCTCTTATCAGTAAGTGCTGCAATGTCTACCATTGCGTAGAGGCACTCTAGTATACATCATCAATTGAATTGAAAACTCAAATTAACATCAACATTAAAACAATGGGTTTTTCTTCATTTGGTTCTCTCTAGTAATTTTGGCCACGGTTTTTTTATTCAGCTATTTATATAGAAACAGTTTGTATTTTTAAGATGTACAAATATCTTGATATTTTATTATCTACATTACATCCTGATGTTTAATAATTTTTATTATACGTTATATATTTGTATACATTATTATTGTTATTATATTAATCACAACTCAAGATAAATGCAGAGACTTACAATTAGATGTACCTTAGCATTTCATTAGAAAGAACTATGTATAATACAATTTTAATGTGAATTACACATTTTTTGCTTAATAGATTGGTGCTTTGTCCATGTCCAATCCTTTAAATATAGGAGATAGTACAAAACAATTCTTTAATGGATCGTTGTAGGAAATTTTTTAATAGAAGGTAAATTATACTCAATTCTTTATTGATTATTATTAGAGACATTATTGTTACAAATAAAGTATTGTTCAGTAAAATGGTGCTAATTATATTATTAAGAAAAGTGTGTCAGAGTAATTTTATTAACTAGATATTTGTCTTGGGTTACTCACACTTTTAAAAATTAATTATGTAATTTTAAAATAATGAAACTTTCTAGACAAACTGAACGTCCTATTGACGATTTAGAGACTGTGCTTGAAAGAAAAGAACGATGGCGGAGCATCTACATGATTTATTTTACTATGTTCTTGATGTCTCTTGGCTTCAGTATTATACTTACTGGGGTTTGGCCATACTTAGGCAAGGTATATAGCACAAGCGTACAATATATGTATTGATAAAGTTACAAAGATTATAATTATATGTGTATATATATTTTTTTAGTTGGATCCTACTGCAGGAAAAGTATTCATGGGTTACGTAGTGGCAGCCAATCCACTTGGACAAATGTTGTTTTCACCTCTAGTGGGTTGGTGGGGTAATAAAAGAGGGTCAGTAAGATTGCCACTTTTAGTAACTTCAGCATTGTTCATTATTGCATCAGCAGCTTACAGTGTTCTTGAGGTGATACCTGGCGATAAAAAAAATTACATGCTCACCGCCAGATTCTTCGTTGGTGTTAGTTCTGGTAGGTTTTCCCCCCCATTTTTATGTCGTATTAGTATTTGAAGATATTTCGCTTTTAAAATAATTTTTTGCAGCCAATATTGCTGTAGCAAGATCTTATCTATCTGCAGCTACAAAACTTTCAGAACGCACACAAGCAGTTTCTATGGTATCCCTGGCACAGGTAATTTTCTTTCGCTGTTTTTTTATATTAAAATGTGTAAATAATATATAAATAAATTATAATCTTTTTGCTACTGATTTTGAAATAATTTTACAATCTTTTACAAAAAATTTATCTTATTCAACAAACCAAGTAATTAAATTTGATTGAATACATGTGATAGCGAAACAATGTACTTTGTAGGTCCTAGGATTTGTGATAGGTCCTGGGCTGCAAGCTGCTGTAACACCTCTTGGAGACCATGGCGTAACATTTATGATGCTACCTTTAAACATGTACACAGCAGCTGGTTGGATTAACGTAATATTGGGAATTTTTAATTTCATCTTTTTATTGCCATGGAACTTTAAGGAACATAAAATTGCCATAAAAGAAGCTATGCATAATGAGGGTAAAACTACAGGTATGTAATAAATTTATATTATATTTATCTTTAAATTTGATTTAATTTAAAGCATTATAATATATGTATAATGATAATGAGTTAATTTTATTTCATTTTTGTATTAAATACTTTTTCTAAATATTTTTCATTATTTTATTGCCAATTCTTTGTCGGTTTTTGTACGTTTATGATAGAGTTGATTGCATTTGCAGAAAAAGAAGCATGGAAAGCTATTAAACCAGACTATTTAGCTTCGTGGACTTTAATTTGTGCATTCTTCGTTTTAGTTTTTAATTTTGTTCTTCTTGAGACGTAAGTGCATTGATTTTCTGTTTATAAGGATATTTATAATTGATAATCAAATGGATCATTTGACTAATGAGTCACTACAATAATTAAATGATATCAAACTTAAATCAACTAATTAAATCTACTAGAAAATAATGTTAAGACCATGGACTGAAATCTTGGTTTGTCAAGCAAAAATGTTTAACCGGTAAATAAATTTTTTATGCAGTCTTGGTACTTCTCTTACCATGGATCAATTTGCTTGGACTAAAAAGGAGGCACTATATTATATGGGAATACTAATGAGCTTTGGAGCTGTGATAGCCTGTATTACATTTATCACGATAGGACCACTTTGCAAGAGGTAATTATAAGAAATATCAATTTCTTCCAGACAAATAATCAATACTTTTATAGTAAGATATTATATTATTGCTTTGATGATATTTGTAACTGTAGATAAATAATATCTTTCACTCTCACGTATCAATGACAATATTTTGCAATCTTTCTTTATAGATTTGCAGAACGTAAAGTAATGCTATGGGGTGGATTCTTCTTTATGGTGATTGGACGAGTACTATGTATTCCATGGGGTCCGGAGCCACCTATAATTGCAGATTTTGGACGTAAGTATCTGCTCCGTAGATTTTACATTTGGCGTAATTTTACGTATTGTTTACGTATGTTGATAATGATAATTTTGTAACGAGTGTGCTTCAATATTTTGTAGCGTACAATAATATGACGGAAGATGCCAATGGAACGGAAATCGTAGGATGCCCCGTTACTCAGGAATGGTGCATATACACACCACAAATGACGATTGTTCAATTTATCATTGGTTACGCCTTTACATCCATAGGTTATCCTATAGGGGTTACTTTGATACAAACTATATTTAGCAAAATTCTCGGCCCGCGTCCGCAAGGCGTATGGATGGGTTTAATGACAGGTGCAGGTTGTGCGTCTCGCGTTTTAGGCCCGGTATTTGTAGGCTTCATTTATACACGCTTAGGGACATATCACACTTTCGGCATCACTGGCGTAATGCTACTTATTTCCATGTTGTGGTTACAATTTGTAAATAAGCGTTTGGTTGCGCCAGAGTTAAAGAAGAACAATGAAGCGTCAAACAGGCAAGGAAAGGATGTTGAAATTCCTTTAGTTCACTTAAAAGCTGATAATAATCAAGCATCGCGTGAAACTACATAGTTTAATGTAACATTAGAGCGCGATTGTGATAATGAACAGCTTGTAAGTTGGCAAAGAAAATTTACTTTTTCATGCAGTATGCAACTGGTGCAATAATTTGTACATAAAGATCGATGCAAATTAATCTATATATTTTTTACGAATGCAAACGAATTACTATTACATTCTTTAAATATACGGATACAAAGTTACTTTTGCTAAATATGATTAAGAATGAAATGGGTACGTGCCTTTCTCGGAATAGTTCAAAATATATAACAATAATCGTGATAATTGAGAAAACATTCATAGTCTTTCGCTCAAAAGCGCTCAAAACTTTCTAGTGGTATAATAATTTGTTGAAATTTTAGATTTTTTTATATAAATTCGAATTGACTTATTTTGTATTCATTATAATTATAATATGATATTAAATGTTCTTCCAGTATTTCTGTTTGAAGAGAAGTTACAACTCTCTTAAATGTTATACATTTATTATTAGTGCTATTGATATATTTTTTTAGGAAGAATAGTACATATGGATAAGTAACTCTTGTACAAATTGTGAGTTTTATATATTCAACTTCAGTTCTCTACAAGCACTTTTGTTAATTATAAAATGTCAGGAAATTGCACAAGAAGTAAATTTCTTTAATCTTCCATATTTTATGTATATTTTTTTATACACTTGTTGCTCTTTTATAAATTTTACAGTTGCGTCTATCATTGTTCAAAGATCAAATTAATGCTATGATTATGTATAAGAATTTAAGCAACGTACAAATTTATAATAGAATAGCTTATAGGAATGCCATTGTCTTTTCCAAACTGGGAGAGTAATATTATATACAAATGCGTTAGACGACAGCAAATATGCGATATAAAATTGGTTCATGTACTATATAAGATTATCCAAGACTTATTGACTAATTGATTCTTTTTTAAAGTACTTGTAATTAGTGCAATAACATTTTCGCTCAAGTTACATTTAGACGTTGGAATGTTTATTAGATTATTGTAACATTTGAGAATTGCATACTTTACGAGTTGCTTACATGCAACGTAAATGCAACATAAATCAATGCAAGAGTGTAAAAGGGTACAGTCTGCTTTTTATTTTCTTTTTCTATGTAGTTTGAAGAGCAAAGACTGACCTAATCTAAAATTTTATAAAATTGTTTTACATTTGATTAAGAAATGAATAGTTGATATTACACAAGTACATAGGTGCTGCTAATTACTTATATTTTTAGGACTTCCAAAAGACAATAATGTAAAAAATTGATAAAAATTTACATCGAACATTAGACAGTCATAATTAAATCTATTATATATCGTAATTGTGATGGATATCAAAAGGATTATAAAAAAACTCAAATTGGGGAATATAATATTATATAAATTTAATATAACAATTTTATAATTGACATTCTATTATATAAAGAACTGAATATTCAAAGTGCAATTAAATTCTAAATTATATAATGCAATAATGTATATTTTATAAATTGCAATATTGTATAATAAAAAATGTATAGGCAACACCAAACATTGGCTACGCTCAGCGGAAAAAGCTGCTTTGCTACTGTTGTAAAATTCGTGAATCTGATTGGTGTATTCTCTTAATCTTGAGTGAATTTAAGAGCATACGCCAATCAGATTCACGAATTTTACAGCAGTTGCAAAGCAGTTTTTTTCTGCTGAACGTAGCCATTTTTGTAAGGTAACATTCATTTGTTCCTGCATCTACTTTTTGACCACTCGAGATATGAAAAATTAATGCTTTACATTTTCGCTCAAATTCTTTTTGTTCGCAACCATTAGGAGCAAAGTCTGTGAATTGTCAAAAGATTTACGCAGATGAGGCAATAAAAGCGTCTGCATTCAGTGGACGATAGTTTTCACCACGCGATAAGTGGAAGGGAGCTAATAGTTGCTTTCCTTTTACATGAAAACTCAGATAAATCTCACTTGTGACGTTATAACTCAGTTGAATGCTTGTTCCTTTTGATTCTTGAAAAGTGAGATTCGACCAGATTTAACTGAGTTTTTGCACACGATCAAGACCGTGTGCTTTAGTTAAAAGACTCACATTAATGACGTCATATCTGAGTATAAAATAATAAAATGTATAAAATGAGTATAAAATACATAACTGAGTGACTCAGTATCACTTGAGTGTAAAAGGAAAGCAGCTAATATTTCTCAAGAAATAGTAAAGCCGCAAAAATGTCATTATTTCATTTGTGAAGATATGCAGAGTTGCCTATACAATATGTATGTATAATACGTAGATATATTTTTCTAGTTGTCTATAGCAAAAATATACTTAATTGAAAATATATGTGAAATTTAATTAATGAAAATAAAATTATTATAAAGTTGCAATAAGTAATTTCACTACTGTCATTTGTAGATACTAATTCCTTTCTGATTTAACGATAACGAAAATTGTTTGAATACGGCAAAGATAAGTCAAACTTGTCAAATATTAAATTTTTATTTTTATTGCAGTAGAAATTATTTGACTATCATTTCTTACATTTCTTCTTATATACTTGTGTAACGCGAATACAATAAAACCTTTAAACTCTAAAAAAAAGCTGTGGTCAAAAAATTGACACATTACATAAATACATAGATTCTCATAAATGCTGTGCTATCACTTACAAATGCTAATGATACGATACGAGTGCATGATTACTGTGGATTACAAAAATGATTAATACATGTCTCTGTTTAAGTTGAATTGTAGAAATGCGGATTATTCATATAAAGTAACCTTATAATTACAATTAATCTTTCTTCTTTGGTTTCTTAGGATTACGCGACCGCGATTTTGCTTTACAGAGCGGGCAAATTGGCGCATTCCTGTGAATTTGTTGATGGCACGAGAGGCAGGACTTCATAGGCGGCGGTTGTTGCCTGAAAAGCGAGCAGAAATATTCTCCTTATTACAGAAACGATAACAGGTAATGGCTTCAATTTTATATGAAGAATGTAATAAGGGGACGCGATATACCAGTGGTACCTGAATGTTGGAGCAGGCGGCCCTGGGGCTGGCGGCAATGGCCTGGGCTCTGGTTTGCTCGGTCCCTGAATCGGTTGCGGAGCTAAGAAAGGCGTGGAGCCACCCGGATGCCCGGGGTGGTGTAGCCCGAGCTGAGGCAACAAGTCGTCGCCCCGCACCTCTACCCTCCACTCCGCCTTTTGCATCGGACGTTCAAAGTAGCTATGAACAAACCGTCTACACAATAAAAGTTTGACTCAGCTCAGTCTGTGACGTCACTCTCCACTTATTGCCTGATACTAGACGCGGCGTCTCTCGCAGCTGATCCTCAACAGCCTCGCGGCAATCGCAAGATACTCACTCAGGGGAGATGAGGTCCGACTCGGTCTCGTACAACTCCGGTAACCTCTCCAGTCCCAAAAATTCCCTGCGCATACGGTCGATGTCGTGCTTCAGCGGCTGATAATCATTGTTGTGAATCAGCTTCGCGGTTTCCCTCGCCCTGTTACGCGCCTCTTCCGCCTGCTTGATCACAGATTCCATCTGACAAAAAGTAAGCTCTGTTATCAGCGACTCCGTGCCGTTTAAACGCACATGCTGTATTTTGTCTCGCTCGCAGAGACAAGAAGCAAGCAATGTAAATTCACCGCGTTGATGTCCGCGTGTATCTGGCGCAATTCCTCAACGTGTGCCATCTTCTCCTGCATCAGCAGGTCCATTTCTTGCTTGTACTCTAATAGACATTTCTCCTCCTGCTCGGTCTGCTCCACCTCCTGCATTATCCTCTGCTTCAGCTTCTCCAGCTGAAGGGTCTTCGATCTGCAGGAGTACAAAGGTGAGAGAAAAGAAGAGTGGCGGAGGCACTCCCCAAAAAAAAAAGATTAAGAATCGACGAGGGAAGGCCAATGTGAGCGAAGGAACGCGGAACACAGTGCGTTGTTTAAAATATATTCTTTTGTTCAAACGTTTCGACCCATACTCAGGTCTTCTTCAGTGCGATCTCATACAACTAAAATACAAAAAAAAACATTACAACAAATTAGTTAAGAAATTATTTTGAAAAACATTAAATACAGTCAAGTACGAATTGGTTGAACTCAAATGAAAATTGGAGTACCTGAAGAGAGTGCTATAGTGAGCGCGAAACGAAAATCGTGGAATCTACGCGATTGTTGCGATGAAATCAAGTCCTCTCTAAAGGAGAGACGTGTCGGAGGTGGGATTTCTCGCGCAACACACGAGAGGATGTCGCGTCCTCATACCTAATGTCTTTCAAAGCCTCCAGTTTCGCGAAAATCACCGCCGTCTCGGACGCTGACATGCCTGGGGGTTAATCTGGACGTTAATTAACGATCGCTGTCGCCACCCCGGGTTCTGCGGAATTTCAGCGGCGTCTCTCCCGACTCGGGTTCCACTACTGCATATTCGGGAGTCGGTGCGATCAGCGAGGGGACGCAGGGGGGGGTAAAACGCGTTTCACGAATCACGGGACCGGGAGTTACGCGCGGCCGAGCGACTCCGCGGACCGGGGAAAGCTTTTGTTACGGTAGCTTCGGCGAAGCTGCTTGACGGAGAAGCTGACGGAGGCCATCGAGCGGAGCGTCGCGCGAGAGCACAGCGGACTCGGTTCACCAATCACTTCTTTTTTCCCCTCTTTTCATTCATCTCCCCCGCGGAGAGATAGCGAACTTGAAATCCGCACGGCAAGATGAGCGCGACCGCGCCATCTGGGATGCCGCGGCTCGTAATTGTCGCGGCGGGCGCGCGTTTTCAATTCGACGTTTCAGGATTTTTTTTCTCTTCCCGCGCCTCGCAACGACCATGCGAGAAATGACTCTCGTCGAGAGATATCGCGACGATACTGAATCGACGTCAATTTGCCGGTGTCGACGGCGATTCGGCATTGTTTCGGCACTGATCGACGAGTCATTTCTCGCTGCACGGCACGGGTTGGGTTCGATTATGAATCATTGGCTACGTTCGGCAGAAAAAGCTGCTTCGCAACTGTTGTAAAACTCACGAGTCTAATTGGCGTATGCTCTTAAATTCACTCGAGATTAAGAGAACACACCAATCAGATTCACGAATTTTACAACAGCTGCAAGGCAGCCTTTTTCTGCTGAACGCAGTTTTTTTCCTTCTCGAGCAAATTCATCGGCGGTCAATTTAATTAACAAAAAATTGCAAAAACAATCGCATTTCTGGCTAAACAATTCGTCATCCCTAATCTAATCTTCTAAAGTAAAATGATAAAAAAAATTAATATCCTATCCATTAATAATTAACAAAATAATATCCTGCGGATACTAATACTTGAAGTAAGCCGCCGAGACAAGAAAGCCTGAATCTCAACTTACTCTTTATTTTTCTCTAATTCTTAGAAAGAGGCAAAAAGTAAATTGGAAAAGATCCAGGGTGAGTTAAACCGAGACTGGAGTTCAATCTGCGTCGCTGGACGGTGGACGCGATCGTTCGATCTCGCGTTCTGAATTGTCGCGAAGAATGCGTGCCGCGCGTTGCCTCAAGTTTAAGAATCGAACGGCCGCATTTAGCACAAACGTGAATAATGCACCATTGATCCCCATTTAACCCGGGAATAGAACGCGTGACGTACGTCACCTAGCTCTTCTTTCGACGTCCGCATCTCGAGCGAGATCTCTCGACGTCGCGTAGCTTCGAGTCGGGCGAAAATGGGGGACGTGCCTCAGCTGTCGAGAAAACCTTATTCTTGTTTGACGATTACCTCACTTAATTTTAATAACAAATATAAATTATCGATTAAAATATATACGCTGACTCTGCTCTCGATGGACAGAAAATTATACGCGTGCATTCTGCTCGAATTTACTCGCGCTTTTAGAAAAATCGCCGGCAAAAAGGGCTGTCTCAATTCGATATATCGTAAAATTTTATAAGCCTTATTGTTTAATCGATTAATTTGTTTTATGTTTCACATCTGTTTTTTTCTTTCCTCCGTTTTGCGTTTCTTTTATTTCTGTCAAATATTTTATCGACGACGGTAAACCGCTGCGAGATTCCACGAGGTGAAAGTAGATGTAGATGGCACTTCGCAGGCACAGATCGTCGAGAAAATTCTTCAATGGCTCGCAAAATCTCCGATTCTGATTGGTCCCGCGAAATCGGTCATTGGTCGGAGCATCGTCCCGATTCAGCGAACAGAGACACTAAGGCCGGTACTCAAGGGGTTTGTTTTCTGTTCCTGCACTGGTGAACTAGTGCAGTAAGCTATAAGAATGAGAAAAAATATGCTTGTCTTACTCCAATTTATTGCACTAGTTCACTAGTGTAGGAACAGAAAACAAGCCTATAATCGATTCTTATTTCAAAATTATTTTAAGTGCTGTTTTAGGAGGCTAATACGGCTCTGTGATTGGTTAAAAACACATTAAAGCCCGCTGCAGACGATGCTTGCAATCTAATAAATTACTATCATTGCACCACTTAGCACTCAGGATTTCTAGTAATTTACTAAATCGCAAGCAATCTAGCAGGAAAAGTAGCATCGTCTGCAGCGGGCTTTAAACCAACGGCACACGATACTATTTTTCCTACTGGATCGCTTACGACAGCCAATCAGGATGCAGAGTTTTCGATCAGGTGACTTAAACCTGAATCCTCCTGATTGACTCTCGTCAGGAATCTAGTAGGAAAAATAGTACCGTGTGCCGTTGGCTTAAATGTGAGTAGCCTTGTCTCTTTCTAACCGTCCCCTTAAAAAGAAACAAAGAACGAAAGTAAGCTAAGCTTAAAGTTAAACAACGTTGGTGAAACAGGACCTAAGGCCCATATTCTGAATCCTCTTTTATCGCTAAAAGTGCCTGTAATAGATCCTTTCAGCCAATGAGGATGCTTCAAACCCAATTTTAGTGGCACTTTTATCGAAAAGAGAATAATTCGGACTATCGGCCTGAAGGAACTGAAAGAAAGGAGCGAAATGTAACCAAAGCCAACCAGCTCCGCCGTCGCAAATGCTCCCCTTCGATCTCGGCGCATTTCTGCTGGGGCGCGTCCCGAAGGACCCTCGCCGCGACTCGAATCGAAGCGCGATCCCGTTTTCAAGCGGCCGCGGGTCGGGGCGCGCGCGCATGCGCGCGCGCCCGCACGGACGGCGGCGCGTGCGCGCCCCGTCGGGCCCTGGAGGGGCGTATAGAAAGGAGGCCATATTGTACAGTTAAATTGAAAGCAGGAAAATAATTGTATCGCCGTCGCCGATATCGCACGCTCGCGCCCGCACCGCCTACGGCTCCCCGCGTCTTCGTTACCCCCCCCCTGTTACTCGTCGGCGAGCGACGGCGGAGAGCCCTTCGTTCCGGCCCTAAACGTCACCGTGCCGTGCCGTGCCGTGCATCCGTGCGGCGGAACCGAGAGAAAGAGAGAGAGTATAGTATACACGGGAGCCAATCGGCGGCTCCTCCTCGGCCTCCTCTGCCCTTTGTATATAAGCCATACGTCGTCGCAGTAGCGCGGCTCCGACCCCGGGGGTGACCGACGTCGGCTCGTTGAGAGGTGCTTGTTGCTCGCTGCAGTCAAGATGGGCACTCGGGACGACGAGTACGATTATTTATTTAAAGGTAACTCGCCACTTCCACGTCTCTGTGCCTCTGTCTCGTCTCTCGCTCGCACCCTCCCTTCCTCTGCCTTTCTCTCTCTTTCTCTCTCTCTCTCTCTCTCTGCCTCTGTCTCTCTTTCTCCGTCTCTCGTACAGCAGCGCGACTGCTGCCTTTTTTGCGCGATCACGGGGAGGATGCTCCCGCGATCGACCTGGTGCACCGCGCCGCCGTTTCCCGACGTCACGCCGCACGTCACCTCGCAAACGGTCGCCGCGGCCGTCGCGGATGGCGGACGGCGCGAAACGCTCGCGCGGTGACATCAGAAACGGCGGACCCACCGTCGCGCGCGCGGAGGCTAACAATCCGTTTCCCCGCGGCGGCGGCGGCGGGAGGGGGGGGAGGGGAGATTCCTCCGGGCGACTTCCCGGATCGACGGCTCCGCCGATTCCGGTCCTTCCCTTCCTCCTCCTCCCCCTCCCTCTCTCGCCCGTCGTTTCCCCTGTCTCTCCCCCTCCCCCCCCCAGGTTCTTTCTTTCCCTGCGCCGTGAAAAACGCCCGCGATTTGTACATTACGCATGTAATTGGACGCGATGTATACGCGTATCGAATGCGCGCGATGGTGTTGGATCCGCTATGTGCCGATCGTACGCCCGCCTTTGTGGACAGGCGTACGTACGTGTGTGACATACATGGAATTTCTTTCGGCTTTGTCATTCCACATCATCGGCACTTTCGTGGAACAGAAAAGAAGAGAGAGAGAGAGAGAGAGAGAGATAAGACGCCAAGATTACTATAAACGCCGTCATCGGTTCTCTCTCTCCCTCTGTATCTTTCGTCAGCTGTCATCTTCAGGGGATAAGAAGGGAAGAACTCGTCTTGTTCTCCGTTAAACCTACTATGTACTCGTCGCGTCCAGAAACGTTGCATTTTGTAGCCAATAAGCACGTCTAAACAATTTGTGCAAGTCGATCCATTGTACGCCATACGTTGCCGGCAAAGTTTCTAGGCGTTTCGATTTGCTTGTACAAAATAGAACGTTTCTAGACGCGCAGCCCACATTGCAGGCTTCAGTTTAGCCGCGACAATTAACGTTGATCATCATCTGCCCGCTGGGTCCGGAGGCTCGGTTGTCCTGGCGCCGCTGCTTCACTCGGGACACTCGTTCAATTCGATTGATCTTGACCCCTGACTCTATAAGGGTATAACGCCAGTCATGTGCCTGGCCACTGTCACTGTCGTGATCCGGGCACGTTGTGTTACGGCGGGCCGATAAGTCAGGTCAATCATATTTTCCCTCGTTACTCGCGCGCCTCTTCGACATGCGTGTACATACAGTTTCTACACGATTTCGCACTGAACGTTGGAGGCACGATGAAGCCTCGTTCTGAATTGTCTCGTGGAATTGATTAAAAATTTGTTTTACTTTGCTTTACACCAGCTTGGCTTTGGACAAGCGAGAGGATGTACGTGGACGTGATATACACGACCGACACGCGTACACCATGTTTATATCTCTGACTTTGGCGAGAGCAGATGTAGAACGAAGGGGGGGTCAAGCTACGCTTTATTTCCCATGCCTCTGGTCTGAATAGCAATCTATAGACATACACACCGACATGTACGCCACACATGGTCGTGATGTGGCACTGATTCACTGATACATGACACAACTTTTTCAGGTTTATAGATAAAGAGCCTCGCGCGGTTTATTACTTTTACAGCCGTCCAGTATTCCCGGTATTCATTGTACAATAAGTTGATAATTTTAATTGTCAAGTTTAGATGCTGATAAAAATTTTAGCTCAGGGTATGTTTCGATGTCATTTTTCACTTTGAAATAGATTTCACTACACTTATAGTGTGTGCATAGCTTTTACACGAGTGAGACTGGATTACAATTGTTTAAGGTATTTTAATAGTAATACATATTTTTATGGAGTGTTTATAATTTATGTTTTAGCTCAGTCGGTTGAAGATAATATGAAACATTGCAAATTTTCTAATTGTCATTATCCTTAGATAATAATGATAACAATTGTACTTGTATAGTCTCTTAATACATTTGCAATCTTGTTTTTGATATATGATCTAAGTTTAGTATCTCACAGATGATATGAGAGAGAGAGAGAGAGACTATTACAAAATATATTATTCTTTTAATTTCTCACTTGTTGATCGACTGTCTCCCAAAATTTAATCGTCTAATCATCTGTCTAATTGATTCTGCCTGTCTTTTCAGTGGTCCTCATTGGAGATTCTGGAGTAGGAAAAAGTAATCTCCTATCCCGATTTACAAGAAATGAATTCAATTTGGAGTCGAAGTCTACCATCGGAGTCGAGTTTGCAACGCGCAGTATACAAGTAGATGGTAAAACCATTAAAGCCCAAATTTGGGACACGGCTGGGCAAGAGCGCTATCGTGCGATTACTTCTGCGTAAGTTTAAATTTCATGTACTTTCAAATAGGTTAAAGATAATGATAGCGTTTTCATTATCTTCAAATTATTTTACGTAATGTTATTAAGATGTATCGATTTTATTGTGCAAGTTATACTCTTTAGTACACCGCTATAAAAATATTGAGAAACCAAAAGATGGAAAAATGATTGGTGCAGTTATAACAGTATGTTATTAAACTCACTTAACAGAAAGATAAAAGTGGATTATCTATACATTTATTTTGGAGATTTAACTTGCACAATTATTTCACCTTTAATATTAAACAATTACACGTATGACTGAGTTTCTATTGAATTAAAAAATAATAACTATATTTATAAAAATGTAGGCAAATAGACGAACTGGAAAGTAACTTATTCCACATAAAATCAGCATTTATCATAAACTTGATACATGGCATACATATCAATAATCTTTCTCTAATTACTAGATATTACCGCGGAGCAGTTGGCGCACTACTCGTGTATGATATTGCGAAGCACCTGACGTATGAAAATGTAGAAAGATGGTTACGAGAATTACGGGACCATGCTGATCAGAATATTGTGATCATGCTAGTGGGAAATAAGTCGGACTTAAGGCATCTGCGTGCTGTTCCAACTGACGAGGCTAAAGCGTTTGCTGAGAGGAACGGCTTGTCTTTCATCGAAACATCCGCTTTAGATTCTACTAATGTTGAGACAGCGTTTCAAAACATATTAACAGGTAATAGAGCTCTTTCCACGACACTTTTCTTTTTTTATTAGAATTTATTTCCGGGGCACTCCATCATGTGTTTCCACTCAATGCTTTTTGATCCATTTCTTGTAAGTCGATGGCATGAATGAGGTGAGGGTCAAACTTAGTCTGCCGACTATAGGTGCATTCATGGAGCCGCTATTAGCGTTGAAATAGTCTTTCTATCTTTATTGCTCATTATACGTCGAAGAAAGATAGATGATGCTTTCAGTGCTAATAGCGCACTCCGCGAACACACCCTGCGAATTAATTGCTCCTTTTTCTTCTCTTTCTTCTTCTGAAAGTAAAACTATGTCCGGTCTTTCTGCAACACCTAGTTGGCACCTTTTTAGAGACTTTCCTAGGGGTTCTTTGAGTATTATCTGTTTTTATAGGGAACAGACTCTAATGTAACTCACTAATCCTCCTTCTTTTTGTAAACGGGCACTTCCCAACTTGGGGACGTGCCTGAAGAGACCTTCAGACCCCCGAGAGGTGTATGTGGCATTATACTCTCAGTAATTGCCACTTTCCTCCGAGACCTTTCTAATAAAAACCAATGGTTCTGGTTGGATTTAAACTCAGACCTTTTTGTTAATCTGTTTGCCATCAGTGCTCCCACAGAGCATTATACAATGATATTGTTATATAAAATTAGCGTATAGTGTGCGTGAAATAAAATTAAATATTGGAAAGCACATTGAAATTGTAACAGCTAATATGTTTTTGTGTATTACTGCATGAAATTTCATATTTTTATGAAAAATTCTATGCATATGTATATGTATGTTAACAAAACCGTTTAACTCTATATAAATCTTTCATTTCGTGGTAGTACAAATTGCAATATTACAATAGAATTAAAATTTTATATTTGCCAAACATTATTACAATATAATACTATGAATGTGTTTTCATGGTCAAATATATAGAGAAAAGTCCCCTGATATGGGATAACAGGGTTTCTTTAAATTAATAGGCATCATCAGTTTATTCAACCATGAATTTATTGCCCTGGAAGCAAAATCTGTTTAGTGGAAAATTCTTTGTTGGATTGTGTAATCGTTGCGAAAAAAAGATTTGTGCTTGAATTTGGTTGTTGAAAACCTGCTATCTTATATTAGAAACGTGACTCATAATAGAGGACTTTCCTCTAGTAACATCATTAAACGACTTTGTCTACACTAGATTTGAGATTATTTATCGCATACTAAATTCAAATTGTACATTGCATTTTATTTGTCTCATTTAACGAAACATTTTGTTTTTACAGAAATATACAGAATCGTATCGCAAAAACAGATACGAGATCCACCTGAAGGTGACACAATCCGGCCACAGAACGTAGAACAAATTGAAGTCAAACCAACGATGAATGCCGACGGAGTGCGTAAGCAGTGCTGCCAGTGACTCACCTTGTTGCTTAAAATGTGTGTACACGTATATACAGTATGAATATCACGGAAGTACAGTTGGGGATAATATATAATTTCTAATGAAAAAAAAAGATTTTGTTTATGCTGCAGTAAAAAGTTTCTGAAATGATCATTTGTATAATAGGATAGATTTAATATAAGGAAACTGTGGTTAGTTTATTATTAATGTTAACTTGATTGTAAATTGAGTTAATTTTAACATATATCAAAATTAAATACTACTAAAGACAACACTCCACGTTTCTTTCATTCCAATAATTTATATTCTGTATATTGTTAAAACCATATTGAAATACCGAGTCGTTTATTTCTGTACATACAACTATGGAGTCTCTTACACATACATATTCAATTCTCTATTGAAATAATTAAAATATTTAAGTTTGTCGTTTTCTTCAGAGGAAACAAGATTGTGTTGCAGATTGTATGATTTATATAGGATATTTCAATACAACCAGAGATGTCCTTTTAATTGTATATCTCTCAATTCTCAAAATTAACATTTTCTTAATGGATTTGTCAAATTAATTGTTTTTTCTCGAATAACAATTGAAAGTAAAAGATACTTCGTGAATTAAGATCGAAATAAAATGAAACAAACCTGCTTAATTAACTTTTTTATGAATTTCGATATGAGACATGTATAAAGATGATGAAAATTGGGAGATTGCGATAAATAAGGATTTCTCTTGAATTTTTTAATGAAAGAAACATCAACTTCAAATTGGCTAAAGAATCTTATTAAAAGGACATCTAGATGATTCTCGGATATTCTGTATAGTTCAATCAATGCTTTATAATAGCTAGAAGCAGGCGATAAAAATTTAAATGATATTTATGTCCAACAATATATATGTATATATATTTGCAAATTATTTGTAATGATATAGCTTGCTTTTAGGCTATTAAATAATTCTAAATAAATCGGAATATCTCTCATGCATTTTTAAACTAATTTTTTATATATGAAATAATTCTCTATTAATATTATTTAATGCCGTATTACATTCAATAATGATGTACATTTTATATATATATATTTATATATGTGGATATATATATTATACTTAGATTATATGGATATAATCACTTCATTAATTTAAAAAAAATTATATAATTTTTTAAATCTTTAATATGAAATAATTTCAATCTTCCTTAATAACGTATCTGGTGATAATAAAATAAAGAAAAACCTGATTGACATTGAACATCGATAAGATGATTCACGTGTGATATAATCTAGATTTCTGACGTCATCGTAAGAAAGAAAGTTTACGTAAGCGTGGATATGATTCCTAATAATTACGGAATTATGTAATATTTTGTAGATTCTAAGAAGTGCATCTATCAATATTAGCTATTTATATACCTTTGTAAGCATTCTTATTTCTTTTTTTACACAAATAAGCATACATTTTTATTTTAAATATAAAGAGAAAGAGAGAGAGCGACGAAAAAACATAGATTTCTTATTTTATATTGCTTGCAAAATTTTGTATTTTTTTTACAATTTAAACAGTCATATATTTGTAATCCTTTAGAATTATTGATCCATCCTATATATGAATTTTTCTAATAAAAGAATTTCCACAAAAATTACATTCAAAGTTATGCTATATGAAGTATTAGATATTTCCTAAGCTCTTTTTTAGAAAACTTTAAAGATGTTTAATCTTATAATAGATGCACAGTATTAATTTAGTTGAGTAGATTACTTGTCTCATACTTCAATAGAGACTAATATTTCACACTCATATCTGAAAGATATTTGAAGAAATAATAAATAAGGTATATTATACTTGTACGAGTCTGTAGTAGAACATATATTTCTGTTAGGCTTATTTAATGATTCTGTTTATAATGTCGTCTAATATCGAAAGTAAATATATAATAAATCAACCATGGAACAATTAATAATCATTTACTAAGTACAATTTCAATGATTTATTGCTTGTAGCTTGAGCGCCATAAAGAGTTGTGCAATTTTGTTTTACAGAAGCAGTCTTACGGAGGAGAAAAAAGTGGGAGTACTAGTTGGCGGTAGATATAACAGGTGCATAACAGAACGAGAGTTAAGACTATGTGCGCAAGCATGTAATCTCATATGTTAAAGGAGATTTTATCCTTACCAGTGCGAGAGAGGACATCCATCAATCCATACGAGTATGCGTTACATGTTTGTGGAAATAATCAAGTAAGGATAAGTGACAAAAAAAAAGATTGTACGATGCTGTAAGCGCGCATAATGCGCACCGTTCTGCCCGCGAAAAAAAGATCATCTTTACTCTCTCTGTTTGTCTCTCTATCTGTCACGATATAAATTATGTTATAATATAAATAAATGTTATATTACTGCTTCTTTGTAATACATATATATATATATAAAAACGACTCTTCTTAACGCGTAGCGTGATCGTGAGTATGTGAACAGTTTATGATCGTATACGCAATGAAGTATCATGGATAAGTACTATCATGCACTGCATAGAAGAAAACAACTATGATATAAATAATGGGCTTATACGGCGAATGATAAGAAAAAAGGAGGTGAAAACAGCTAACTTGAGATAGTCCTTTCTCGTTGCTCACTCTCGCCTCTTCGTAAATAATAGTACTAGTCTGTACAAGCTTGGGCACTACATGCTTCGGGATTACTTTATTTTTACATGAACATCTTTCCAAACTTCTTATATACCGAATAAAATTATATAAGAACAATTACAAACACAAAGCTGTATAGTAGGCGTTTTTCAAAACCCTAAAAGCTGTTGCTTTCTGTGTGGGCTGTAATATGTATAATACGTTATCATCACACGAGCTTTTATTGTATCCTAAATAAAATAGAGAGTGAGTAAGGTGTTGATAAATCGAAATGTCTATTTCTCGATGGATCACATGAAAAATCAACGGTTTGAAATTTATCACTTTGTAATAATCTTTAGCAAGATTATTAATGAAAGATAATTATAGTGCATCGTGCGTGCGTTTAACCTGATTTATAGTATGTATAATTTATATTATCGCGGTATGTATATATGTATGTCGCGATAATATAAATTACGCGTATGGATATATATGTATATATATATATATATCCATTGTAAGTAATGAGAAATGCGTTGTTTCTCGAAGCAATCTTAAAAATGGTAAGATAATTACACGTATAATTACCATTTGATATAGCGGGCTTATTACTTTGTTATGGACATACATACACAACACGTAACACAGATACACGAAATTCAGAACAAATGTGTATAAGCAATGTCAAAGTGACCATAGTTTTCTACAGATATTTTTGATTTATTCTGTATCCTTAGGCCACAAGCTACAAAACTTAGAAAAGGCAAATTACAGTTTCCTTTAAACTAAGTAGAATAAATTTTATATAAATATATATATATACAGCTAAAAAATATGATTTAAGATATAAGATTGTTTCACTCAGTTGAATACAAATGGGATATTATATCTATAACAATATAGATTATTAATAATGCCTTGTATTTCGTTATTTTATTAATAAAATACCAAACTTGCTTTTAAGACGAATGATTATAATGTATCCACAAGTGCTTATATAAGTGATATATGCCTCTCTATTTTTACGCTGTGACAACACATTTACATGATAGAAGTAATTACTGCTCCTTATGGAATACAATCTGTTACCAGATGTAAAAAAGAACTAATTGAAGCAAACATGTTTTATAAATATATATATATATGATTGTTTTATGCAATATATAACATTGTATAGTACTAATAATCGCTGAAATTATTTAATCACAGTGCATAAAATACCTTCACTCATAAAACCACAATATATGAAAACATTTCTACATTTTGTATGTATATACATACAAAATATTCGTTGTTATAGTTTGTTTAAAACTTGCTATAAGTTTATAGCGTTATAATTTATGTATTATAATTAGTTCTACAAGGATATCGTGCACGAAAACACACCAGGTATAAAGATATTTACATTATTTTATTATAAATATATAGTAAAAATTCAATTTGTATTGGGTAAGCCGGAATAACAAGAACGGGTTACTTTTAATCCTAAATTACTACTTACAAGCAAAAAATTATGAAGATACTGGTAAAGATGCTGACTCCAGACGAATAGTATTCCTCTGAGAATTACCATGATTCTTCTGTCGCCATTCAAGCCATCGCAATAACTCTGGACTTTGGGAGGCATCGTTAAGTTCAGTTCGACCTTCTAACTGCTGATAGTAAGCTTCTCGAAGCAATCGAAAGGTCTGTACATTTTTATATGGTAATTGTGTCATGGGATCTAGATACTTGGCGGGCAACCTGTCAGGACAATTCAAGATATTTGTTCAATTTTTTTTTAATGCTAGATTATTTGTTCATAAATAGAAAAACGTAGGTGTGCAACTTCAACGATAACTTTAAATATTTTTTTTACCGCGTGATTGCACATAGAGGCTTCAACGGCGGCCTCTGTGATGTCGATTTCTTAAATACATCTAGATAGGATTGTTCGTTTTCAAAAGTAACAAACGTTCGTTCGTAAAATGTCCCTGTTTCTTCGGCATGGATATCTTTCCTTTTAGTGGGCGCAGAGAGAGCTGTGTTTGCAGATTCTCCCCCATCGTCCTTTCCATCTGTCTTTGACTCTGTTTCGCTGAAATATATTAAACGAATGGAGTTCGGACGTATATCAAATCCAGTATACTTTATATCTCTTCTTTGTATCTTAACACGTATAGGAAAATATTGTCTTTCTCAGAAAATGTCGATCTACCTTCCTTCCTTTGGAGAGCCTGGGTTATTGGAACTTCCTTTTTTCTCATCGTCACATTCAACATTGATTCTTTCGTCCTCGTCCACGGACGTCTCCAACACCATGACTGGCATGGACAACGACTGATACCTAATTATCGGGCCAACATGCGTTTTTCTCACAGTCCTCGTAGTCTTTTTTTCATTCTCTAGTTTCTGATATTTTTCTGTAAGTGTAGAACAATATTATCGCGGCCGTGTCTTAACGCTTCTGTTTGTTTTTCAAGATATATTATCTTTTCCTACTCATTTCTCGTTTTAAATCATTTTAATTTTCTACTCAGATGAAAAATGATAAAGAGTATTGTTGGATAGTTTATTTTATACATACCCAATGATTTCACATTAAGCGTACAATATTCTCGCAGTCATGTCTTAACACTCCTGTTTATTTTTTAAAGAAATATGATTTTGCCCCACTCATTTCTAGTTTCAAATCAGTTTGATTTTCTGCTCTTAGAGAAAAAAAAAACACCCGAATAAAGAACACGGTTGGATAACTTTTATGCATACCCAGTGATTTCGTATTAAGCTCCTCCGTCTGCAACGCTTCTTCCAGCAATTCCTCCTGAGTGGGCTTCCATATGTCGTACTTGACAACTTTTATCTTCCGCCTCTGATCTTCGTTTCTCTCGCGTAAGCGCTTCTGCGTAGCTGCCGACTTTGCAGCGGTAGAGCGACGTATCGATTTTCTCTCTACACACAGTGTTATATACAGTAAACGCACGTTGGATTAAACGTCTCATTTGTGCTGGAGTAATCGCGTTATACCTATGCTGTCTATGAGGGTCTTCTCCTGTTTCGACTGTTTTATCCTTTTCTCTCTGGGCGTCGATTGTGCATGCAATGTGGCAGGTTTAGGCTCCTTGTACGCCTTCGTCACTAATCTGCGCTTCTTCTTCGGCCCCTCTTGCTCGGTGTCGGAGACCGGCTCGTCGTTCTCGTCGATACTGAAGTCCGAATCCACCTCGTCCTCCGCCTCGTCCTCTTCCCTGAGATGCAAATACCTTTTTAATACCCTCGCGAGTCTACGCTGCGAATAAACGTAATGACGTTACGGGGACGCCACGAACATGTAATCGTGATCCTGCTCCACCTCGTCGAAGCCGCCGTATGTAGTTTTGTAAAAATCGTCCTCCTCCTCCTCGTTCAGCAACCTTGCCATTTTGTTGCCGGCGTTCGAACGTTTCTCTCTCGTCGCGGCCATCCTTGCGAGATCTCTCCGGCTAGCAGCTCTTGATACAGCTAACACGTATACAATCACGCCTCGCACCTGGGAGAAACGGGCAAAAGTATTGAGCCTCGTCTACACGACAAGGCGTAAGGCACGGCGCAAGAGCTCAGGCGTAGGCGTTGGAAATAAAATTAGTTTATTTCGCTTGCGCCGCTGCGCCACGACCCTACGATCGGGAAAAATCCTCTTGCGCCTGTGCTCGCGCTCTTGCGCCGCGCCTTACGCCTTGTCGTCTAAATGAGCCTTTGGCCCGGTCTACAATGAGTCGTTAGTCGTTAGAAGTCGCAACTATACATATGTTGATCCTTTTCCTTTCTGGGTAGAAGAAAAAGGTCCGACATATAGTTCCGACTTCTGACTAACGACTAACAACTCATTGTAGACCGGGCCTTTAGAAGGTCATTCTTTGCGCCGCCAAGCGAGGTTATATCCAGACGAGAACCTTCAGACCTTGGAAGATATCCAGTCCTACCCTCCGGCTCTCTCTCCCTCGTCAAGCTTGCATGGAACGTGAATGTCGCTTCGTCACGTTAAGGAGTCGACGAATAATTATATCTCGCTGGAATTCGCTTGTTGTAGAAACCGTAACTAAAAAACCTAACCTAACTAAAGAACCTAACCTAACCCGCTGTCTCATATTTAGAACCCTATCTCATAACAGAGGACTTTACCGACGGAGCGAGCAGCGACGTCCGCGCCGTCTTGCGGTGCACGGTGGAACGTAAGTTTCGAAATTTACGCCCTCGTACTTTTCCGACGCCCGTTCGCGCGTGCTCGCACAGGACCGCGGAGATAAGATAAGCGGGGCGCGCCACGACTGTGCGTCGTGACATCAATCGCGTATGTACTTTCCGCTGCTATGCGATAAATTGCCCAATCGATGCTCCGTTCCACGTTCGAGGCTACACTGTAGCCCGAATGGCGACTGTGCACGTGATAAACGCGTCGCTTTGGTGTACAATGTAAAAGTTGATTGACCTGCGACACGTGGCAGGGCTTCTATTTGAGCTGCGGCCCGCTGACGCTGGCGTTCATTCTGTCTTTTGACGAGTCTCCTAGACAGCACGAGACACTCCTATGAACATTTTCAGAATATTCTTGAAGAATATTTGCAATATTCCATCGGTCATGCTTATATATTTATCTTACGTTCGTGGAACATTTGATTACAATAAATCTTTTTCGAATGTGAACAGAATAATCTATCGAATATGCGTGTCGGTTGTGTGCGGTGCGATCGCAGGTTTCACTGCCTTTTGCACGAGACAAGTGTATTACACAATAAACAATGTGCAATATGTAAACTTGATGAATATTAAAAAATTATTCTGAACGAATATCTCGAATACGGATACTCTAAAAACGTTCTTCTTTGTTATGAATACACGATTTCTAATGGTAATAATATATCTACAGATATTTAGAGGATATTCTATTGGAATATTCTGAAGTTATGAATATTTGCACTCCAGAAGAATATTCGTCCCAGTAAGCGCCGAAGTAACAATTGCACAACATCAATGCAACTGTAACGTAACAGGCGTGTGTTATATTACATTTATGTTGATGTTATGTAACTGTTACTTTGGTGTTTGCTGGGCTAAAACTGCAGGTGCTATCTGGACCGTGGCGTGAAATGGAGCATGCAAACGCAGCCATCATAGATCCATTAGTTATTCGCACAATTCTTTACAGGAATATAAATCTTTTCAACGATCCAGCTTCTAGTGACTGGCGATGCGTTTTTAACGCAGAAAGTTTCTTGCGAAAAACATTACCTCAGCCAGGGTTTCAACCTGGATCTCCCCGCACTCCAGACGGACGTCTCACCAATTCGACCACCGAGGCTATATATATATATATATATATATATATATATATATATAAATAATGAAACTGCGCCTACCCAGAGGACCCAAAAAGACTTCGTTTTAAATTCCCGAATTATCGAAATTAGCTCTTTCTCCGTCACACTTCTGTCCTCAGGAGTTCAAAAGGAATTCGCTTTCCGAGCCCTTTTTCTCAAATACAATGGGAATTTTTTTTATTTTATAAGAACTCGCACCTGAAAAGAATTCTGTTGGAGCTCATTTCGTACAGTTGAATAATTCATAGAGAATTTTAAAAAGCGAGTCCTCTTTTCAGTTCATAATATCCGTGTTATTTTACGTAGTTGTGAACAGATGGATGCTTTCCAGCAAGAGGCGCAGATTGATGCAGCGTAATACAGAGAATCATTTCATCCTTGTTTAATAATGATAAGCAACGAAGATAAAACGATTCACCGTGTTGCACAGTGTTGCCTGTGATATCTTCTGATGCGTTAGCTGCACGAGTTGTGCGTATATACTGTTAATACATATAATTTTTCTCCGATGTAAATTTACATTTGATTTGGGTAAAGTAAGTTCGAATAAAACGACTTTACTCTGCTATTAATGTACAACGTGTCGTGTTATATTACATTTATATTGTTGAGCAGGAAATTATAATGTTGAAGTGTAAGGCCCGGTTTACAACGAGTTGTTAGTCGTTAGTCAGAAGTCGGAGCTGTATGTCGATCCTTTTCCTTTCTGGATGGAAGAAAAAGGACCGACATATAGTTCTAACTTCTGACCAACGACTAACTTATTGTAGACCAGCCCTAACTGTTATGTAACTGTTAACTGATGTTTAGGTGACTGGAAAGATACGGCAATAATATTATGATACATGTAATGTAACATATATGTGAAATGTCGTGCTGATATAAAACAATATTTGAAGTCAATAATAAGTAGCGTCCTTCTCGGACGTTTGATATCTTCATTATTTGTCTGCGTTGTCTAATCTCACTTCTTGCCATGTTACAGTGGGGAGGGGTCACTTTATATTTACTGCAATTCGAGCCTCAAGATTACTCAGTCGAAGCGCAAACCAACAAGATAGCAATCATGGCCGAAACTGTGGAACAAATTTTAGAGGAGTATATACCAGAGAATAAATTGGCTGAAGTAAAACGTATATTATATGGAAATATACCTAAGTAAGAACTCGTCCCTAATAGCACAATGTATTGGCATAATGTTGGGAAATAATGTAAATTTAATATTCTCAACATTGGTCCAATATTGTAAAATGGATACATCCTCTTAGCCAATATGTCTATTCAGCAATATCGTATCAATATTAGACCAATATTCATATTACATTGCTAAATATTGTCCAATATCGGGCCAATAGTTTAGTCAATATTTAGCCAATGCGTTGTGCTATTAGGGTATATATTACAAAATATATTTATACAATAAATTTGCTACGTACGTACAATTAAGATAAGAATGCTACTCTCACCGAATCATATTAGTCAAAAGAAAATGTTAAGCTTTGTGAGCAGAAGGTGTATATTTTTATTTTACAGCTCTAATCTTACAAACGTCTTGGTCCTAATATTGAGAGGTCGTAATAACAGTTCAATAAACTTGTACCTAGTTGTGATAATGTGCTTGTTCAGTAAACAATTCTACATCTATCGAATATATGTACTTAATCAAATACAAGAATTATATAATACCAAGTTTTTAGTAGAATGTAGTATTAAAAAACACATTAAACCTATGTTGCGAGCAACGTAAATTCTATCACTAATTGTGCAAGCTACATAAGATACATTTACGTATGTTATTTTCTTAGGTCATTAAACATAGACTGGGAAAATGAACATTTTGAAATAAGAGGCTGGCAGATGCATAGTCATGTGACCCGTGAACAGCTTCGTACCCCAAATCTAGTTCGCGTTGGACTGATACAACACAGCATAGTGATACCAACATCGGATCCTGTTTACGATCAACGAAATGCAATACACAGCAAGATTAAATCATATATTGTACAAGCAGCTCAATATAAAGTTAACATTTTATGTCTCCAAGAAGCATGGAGTACGTGAAATTTATAGTATTGTAATAGCTTTTCGTTATATATTCATCATATAAATTTGCATAATAATCTATCTGCGCGATCATTGCAGCTATGCCGTTCGCATTTTGCACGAGGGAAAAGTATCCGTGGGTCGAATTTGCGGAGGACATTGAAACTGGACACACGACCCAGTTTCTATCTGTTCTCGCCAAGAAGTACAACATGGTGATAATTTCGCCTATTTTGGAGAGAGACTATACTGACGGCGAGAGCCTCTGGAATACCTGCGTGGTGATCAACACGGACGGCACGGTCCTCGGTAAACATAGGAAGAATCACATTCCCCGTGTCGGGGATTTTAACGAATCCACCTACTACATGGAGGGCAACACAGGTCACCCAGTATTTGACACTCCATTTGGACGCATCGCGATCAACATATGTTACGGACGTCATCATCCACTCAACTGGTTGATGTTTGGCTTGAATGGGGCGG